CATGAGGAAGCACCATCCCATTTAACATTTTGGAACCTAAATTACTACATTTGTGAAAGTTACATGATTTTTTTTTTTAATTTACAATATGCATTATGTAGGTTTGAATTAGGATGGTGATACTAACACAAATCACTAGAGTGCGTGTTTTTGTGGACATGCATAATCTTAAAGTTATGCATGGATAAATTTATGGAATTGTTAATTTAAGATTTATTGAGACTCTATATTTATTTATTAATTTATCGTGTTTTTTTTTATTTTGTTCATTAATTTACTGCATATTAATTTATAATTTTTTTACTATATATAATATTTTGTTTGTTTGTTGCTGTAAATGGTTTTACATTATAATATATAAAAAAACTACCAAATTTAGATTTATGAGGTCAAAATCAAACTTGACTTCCATGAGACTGAGTTCTATGTTTTTTTGGTTGAATTTATTTCCTCCATTTGCCAATATTTAGCTTAGAAAGGAGAACCACGTACACTATACTTGTCCCCCTTCTTTCATTCACTCACTTTTTTCTTGCAATTTTGCTTGTGCTTATTTATAGTTATCTTGTGCTTTTCGATCATTTTTTTTTTTGGAATAAACCGTTGGTGTTCTGGATTTTTGATCTATAATCATATCTGCTCATAATATGTTTTCTGTACAACATACCACACAACATCCCAAGTTTGGAGATCGAAAATGATGGCACACAAACCATTGAGCCAAAAGGGTTAACATGCTTATGAATTAGGAACTACTTGAACAAATAACTATGATTTTTACTGTAGTATATATCAACTGAACATTTTTGGTTCTAAGTGGAGATTCACTCACGATATGTTCAAAATAAGAAATTCCTATGGTTAAGGTTAGATGATACTATATTGCGTTTAGAGTTCGATTTCTTCTCATTCCAACAAGACTACAATGGTTTCTGTTGTGTTAAACATCTAATTATTTGATTTTGTGCAAATCAAACATCTAATTATATATATGTAAAGAGAGACTAACATATAATCCTCAAACAGTGATATACACTTTATGATTATATAAATGTTGCATATATATATAAATTCATATTTAAAATCGATTGAATGATTTTGTTTTGAACACATATGAACGGTCCAGGCAAATCCATGTGGCTGATAAATTCACGACAAGCCAAAAAAACAAGAAAACTTCATGTAAGTTCCAACATAATCTCCACCACTATCTAGGAGCACACACCATCCTTTTATTTTTTTCAT